ACATAGTTTTCGAGGAGGAATCAGGTATGCATTCAATCTTCGTTCCAAAGTAGGCAATGTCTCAAATTCTGATCATGAATCGAAAGGAAATTGAGGCAGAATCTGAATTACTCCTTATCTCCTTATATTCGACTTTTTTTCCGCATTGAACGGATGAAGTTTTGAAATCTTAGCACAAAAATTGAAATCTGACATTGAGTGTCTGGAATAAACGAGTAGCTACGCACGGCCATTGATTGTTGGGGAAACAAACACTTCGTAGAACTTTCTACGATTTTTTCTACTGCAGACAATATTATACAATACCTGAAAAAAGGTTTCGTTTCTAGTGAGAGACTTCAGATCCTTACAAGCATTGTTGCAGAAAAGGTGATGTTCATCGACTATGAGTACGCGGATTTCAACTATACCCTCTTCGACATAGCCAACCACTTCTGTGAATTTGCAGGTACTCGTTTTTGGCGGGCTTTTGATCATACTTATCTCGTAGGGCAACTCAAAAATCGAGTCATTTCTATGCGCTATTGCGAAAAGGGAAGTACATTGTCGGTAGAGCAAACGACATCAAACAGTCATTTGCATTAGCCACAGCATGGCAAAGCGGAACTAAGAAAAAGACGTCAGAATAGGGCAAAAAAAGTGACGCTCTTCCATACAATTCCGCACATGTAAACTGAAAAAAAATCTTTCTGCGGAGCCTAACCCCTATGTGCCTTCGTGACTGGTAAGGGCAAAGTTTCAGGAGTTGAGGATCCTGATTACAATCTCTGCCCGGACCGTGAAGAAATGCGTACATTTTTACAATTTTACTTGGAAGCCAGGCATGACCATGTGGACGAAGCTGTATTAGCAAGAATGTTGGACCGCGTTTCACTATTTCAGGCGGTAAGTGGTTTAACCGATTTTTATAAGCTATAATAGCTTACACTCTCAATTAGAGAAGTGGTATTGTATGGTGGATTTCTGACAATGGTCAAAAGTTTTAATACTTTCAACTTAAGAACCTAAGTTAGAACGATGAATAATGGGCCATAGAATTGAGAACAAATAGGGCTGCCACTCAGCAGGCATCAATAAAATTTGGAGTAAAAGTCGGAAATCTATTAGTTTTAGTCGTATTAGCTGTCCGGCTAGCCGATTTAATATGTCTGCAACTTCAGAATGTGTCTGGATCAGCTAAGACAGTTTTTACGTCTTTCTCAGTAACAGCTGCGATAAATTTGCGTCTTACGACCATGTCGCAACTGCGCCATACTAGGAAACCTTTGGGATGCTACTCTTTATGAAGAACATTTTTGTTCATCCTCCCTTCTCTGCGAGAAACTATTGTATCCTAATTGCAGTCTGCTCACCTCCTATGGTCGGCGTGGGCTTTGGTGCAAGCACAAAACTCAACGCTTGATTTCGATTATGCCAGGTAGGTTCGAATATGCAAGAAGTGATCCAAATTTTTGACTTGTCTTTTCAGCTATGCCACAACTCGATATGAGCAGTATGAGATTTGCCTGAACAATTACTTGATGCAAGATGACGATTTGTGAAATTCACTCTGACCTGGAAATTGTGAGGGAATTGACAAGTGCCTTTTGGACTCGACGCGGGTTGATTTTTCACCCAATGAAGCTGTACATTCAATAATGGAAACATGTAAAACTCAAAATATTGCCTCGACCGGTCCACTGCTAGAAAAGACTAAGGCATCCTTTGCACGAATATGGTATTCAACCTGAAACTGCAGAACCAGAACG